AACGCGTGGGGGGCTTGTTTGGGGGGCGGGGCGGGGGGGGGGGGGGGGTTTCTTAAGAAATTTTGGGGGGGGGATGTCTCTCCGCGCCCCGGGACCCCTTCGCCTATCCCAGCTCTTGTTAATGGAATTTTTTCTCCCCTATACTACAAAAACCTCAAAACCCCCCCCCCCCACATCCCAGAGTAGCTGTTTCCCAGAGACTACTGAGGTCACAAACACAGTCCAGCCAAAACAAAACCGATTTGATTTTTCATATTTTTGAGTGGCAATTCCCGGTTTCCCTAGTCTAGACTAAAATCTTCAACCAATTGATCAGTTTCCTGGAAAATGATACCCTATTCTAGACCTAAACTCTGATTTATATACCCTGTCCCAGACTAAACTGCTTGAAAACCATACCCTTCACAGTAGCCTGCGTAGCTGGCGGTATTTTGTAGTAGTCGAGTGAGATTTGGCGGCGGAGCCGTTGTGATGCCCATATATCGCAGTACTCCCCGGGGCGCCCGGGGTCTCGTTTTCGGGTGATTTTGCGTCTCGTAGTCTCGAATCTTCTCGAATTTTGAAACTAGGGTCTCGCAGCAAGTCTCTAATTTACCATAATATAACCCTATGTGTGTTTCCTGGGGGCGCGTGGTTTAAATACCGGGGGTGGTACAGTACTCCCTTATGGTAGGCCCCGCTCTGAAACTGATAAAGACTTTGCAAATTTTGGTCTTGAATCGGTTATGGTTTTCGAGGGAGCTACGGGAATGCATGAACGTTTTTGTCGTTTCAGTTCCAAATAAATAAGGAAGAAAGATAATCAATGCGAATTTGAAATGAATAGTTATGAATTTTTTTATTTGAGAACTGGACAGCACACCCCCACCAAGAATTCCCAGAAGTAACCCCCGGGTTTAAATACTGGCGCTGATCAACAATTTTTTATTGTTCTTTAATTAAGCACGTTTCACATTCACTTCAGTCCTTAAGGTTTTTCAAAGAAAGCTAGCAAGCAGGCTAAAGCGACTTAAGCTATTCCCGCCTTTTTTTTTGGGGGGGGGGGGGGAGAGGGGGGTGGGGAAGCCCCCATTTTCGGAGAGAACCCCAATAGGATTTCGCATTCCTGTTTTTTCCCCCCAACTTTCCACCCACTCGCGAAATCCCGAGGTACCTTTTCCCACTTTGTCCCGCTGACCCCCCACCTCAACATCCTGGACACCCCCATTGCAATCGCCTTTTTTTTTTTTCTTATTT